GTTTTTTCTTTAAATATATCACACAGCTATAAAATTAATATTCTACCAACTACAGAATAATGTATTCTAAATAGTGATGTGAAAATTTATGTAATTTTTACTTCATATATTTTTTTATTGGTCTGTGACCAAAATATTGGCGAATTTTGATAATGACTCATATACGGTCGAGAAGTTTGCTATTTTTAAACTACGATTTTTTAGGCAAGTCCTTTATGTTTCGTTTACAATAAGATCAAAGCTGAAGTCAACTTATATAAAAATGACGTAATATGTTACAGAGACGTCATAATACAACACCATACAGCAGTTGCTCAGCGAAATCCGTTCATTTTTCATAAAAAAATCGGTAAATGTTGAAGAAATTGAATATGTTCCCAAGCATTAACCACTTTTATTTTTAGTGTGTAAAATAATTGGCTAAAAATCTCTGTCCAGTATTAAATTTGTGTCGGTTAATGAGTGGGAACAGTATTAATTTTTTATAAATATTAAGTCCGCTGTAATAGTAAGTAAGCTGATTTTACACTGTATTTACCTAGGAAACGAATTGTACACACAGCTGTTTTAACATGTGAACACAAACAAAATTATACAAGATAAAATCCACATATGTTTATAAATTAAAAATTTAGAGATGATACTGGTTATCATATTTTAAAATTATTTTTCAAGTTCATATAATCCATTAAAATTAAGGATTAACCATTCTAGTGTCGGGAATTTCATTTATTGTATGGTTCAGAATGCCTTTCATCTACGTATCTAGCGTTATAATCCTTCCTCAATGAATGTGCATTTGATGGTGACCTGATGAATAAAAAAAAAATACATGTATTTTAGATAATCTTTTATGTTATGCTTTTATTCAAAAGTAGTAAGACTTTACAAGTATATACACTGTAGCTATAACCAGCTACATGTACTAGTATGTGATGGTAGTCCTAATGTTTTTTTTTTTTGGGGGGGGGGGGGTCCTACCGAATGTGTCTTGAATCATTCCGAATTTGTGAACCTTATTTACCACAATGACTGTACTTTGCACAATTCATACGGCTTGAGAATACCCAACAGTCATTAACAACTAATACAGACAAAAAAAAAATATAAAAAAAAAAGATTAAAAAAATCTTATGCCTACTTAATCAATAAATTCGCGATATTATCCTTGAACTTGCTATCCTAACCGAAGAATTGTCCCCTTTAAGAAGCTCTTATGACAATTTTTTTTTTCGATGTCGAAGGTTTGTTTGATATATTATATATACATATAAGAACATATTATAGAACGGCAATTTTGTAAGCTTCAAAAAACATTATTATCATTGTAACAAAATATTATGAATAGAACTTATTTACATTGGCCTTGCTGGCTGTAATGTAACCGTAGCGGTAATGATTTGTAGTCGGCAATAGTCTTATTGAAAAAAAAAATTTAATGTAGCAGAAAGTTGAAATTTTTCGCAATGTAGAGGTAGTTTTGTTGACAATGTGAGCACTTTGCACAATGCACACAAGCTTATTTTAATTTATGTCAAATATTCTGTAATATTGGTTTTGTTTTAATTCCTGGAACGTAAAATATACCAGCGATCAACTGTATAATTATACGCTTACCTCAGATCCGCCTCATCACAATGCTTGAATCTTGAGGGGGCTCGAAGCCCCCCTTCCCAGTTGCATTTTCAGCATTATAAAGTATCTTTCCAAATAAAAAAATCTCCTTGGAAAACACCTCCTCCCCTTGTGAAACACGGATTCCTTGTACATTGTTGTAACAAGGTAAAAAAAAATCCTGAATCTGAAGAAAATTTAATAAGGAAAGTCCCTTGTCAAGACCACCCCCTCTCCCACAAAATAAGATTTTCCCTACGTCTTGAGGTAATATTTGAGGAATACAAAAGCAAAAGGGGGCCACTTTTTTGCCCAATATAACTTACACTACACGAAATGTTCTTGGAGAGGCTGGTTGGTTTTTTTTTTTTTTGCTTGTCAACTTTTTCAGGTAAGTAATTTTTTTTTTCTCTGACTCCCCCCTTTCAAAAACGATGCTACGTGGCTGTACATGGATATTTTATACTTAATCATATCTTGAAAATTAAGAAATTTCATATATTTTTTTAAAATTCTTATATTGAATCAAAGAATTTAATTCTGGTAATTAGGACATTTCCCACATACACTTGTTTCGTATATAGAGCATCCCCTCCTTTCTCTTTCCACGAGTTACTTAGATCAGTTTCAGACATCCTCCGCTTCAATTAAGCTCGATTTTTTATCAGTCATTGTTCTCTTTTAGATAGTTCGCATTCACAGTTTTTTTTTCTTTTCTAATAAATTGTTTCAGACTTCCGTTGTCCAGTCTCTTTCTTGTAAACTATCCATGTACAGCCACATATAAAAATAAACGCACAAAGTTTATACAGGTACACATTTCCAATAATAATGATTTAACCTCTCCATTTCTATGATTATTTGCTCTCAAATAGAAAAGCACAATGACGGTGTCTGTTTGACAACAATTTTTGCCCCATAGTTTCCAGTCCTCCGGGCTTTATTTTTCTAATATCTTGGGAAAAAAATCGCTTCTGCCCTTTTAATATACTGAAGACCGGAAAAACCATTTACAGTCGCAAAAGATTGGTTTTGTGTCCATTTTTATTTTTTTGGGTTAAAAAAAGAATAGACACGAATGCAGTGTTATGATATTACGTAGACATGTATTTATCATGCGTTTCTAAAAGAGTGACCTCAAGTTCGAAACATTTGAGCATTGTGCAGTGCGCCGCCTGTGTAATACAGCTGCTATTTTTCAATAAGACAGATTTCAATCGCGTGTTAAACGTTGGAGAGGGGGGGGGGGGGTGATCGTAATGCAACACAACAAGGAAGGTCATGAGGAACGGCTTTCGGATACACGTACAAAAATCATACTAAATCTACAGCAGAAAGCTAGTCTCGGAGAAAAGGGAAAGGGGGGGGGGGGCAGTACCACGGGCCTGCTAACAATATAGAATTGGTGTTTATTCCCACTGTGTTCCATTACCTGACAGTTTTATTTCATGCAAATAATTTACATGTGTGCAAGATTGATGTCCACGCAGTAAATATAAGCGAGGTTAAACCGGATGACATGGGCAAACGACAGGCTACGCATGCGCGAGAATGCTAGAGTTTGCGCCTTAGATAACTTGCCCGTAAAATAATTCGCCCTATTCGAATTAAAACATGCCATTCATTGACAAATCGTGCTTTTAATTCTATATATCCCATTTACTTATTCATTTGCAGATCCGATTTTCTCTCTTTTACATTAACTTTTATATACATACTAAACATTGATTCTATGGTACAAGCATTTTAAAAAGTAGGAAGAAGTTGCAGTATATATATAGATACATGTAACTTAACAACTTGAATGAAAAACGTCATTCAACGACTATAGTTCTAGATTTTAAAAGATAGAACAAGTTTTCACCAGCATTCGTTTTGTGCATCAAGGCTCGCAAAATAATTTAATATTTCAGCAATCTAAATATCGTTTGATAAAGGTCTGTAGCAACGATTTTAAATGTGTGCTTGGGGGGGGGGGGGGGGGCTCCGACAAAAAAAATCTGCGTACTACAGAGCTGTGCTACTCGTGAACCATCAGATCTCTATTTTCTCATGAAATATTTCTTCCGTATAAATCCAGAACAAGTGTCAAATCCCAGCCAGTATGAGTTACACGTATCAAAATTACCGATTTTTTAAACTGACAAAACTAAGGTCGCTAATCGGAGATAAATTTTAAAATTTTGCTTTGAGACTACAATCAGTCATAAGTAGGCAGATTATTGTAGAAAATGTGAATATTCCCTACACCTAGAAATGTTCTCAATTGAATTTCGGTTAGAAAAAACATGCATATGGTCCACGTATTGCAGTCCTTTTTTAAAGGACAGCAACTTTTTGATAGTCCATTATTTACACACTGAATTTACGACGGATTTTCCGTTATTTCCTGATCTTGCCAAGGAGCACACGGCGGGTGTGACCGGTCAGCAGGAAATGCTCGCTCCTCCATGGTACCTGATCCCACCTCTGATGTTTCGAAGGTCCGTGTTTGCTCTGCTCCTATTTTCTATTATTTTATGGACTTTATGGATATTGAATTCGTTATCTCCATATACTTCATGGAACTGTAACGTGTCTGGGTCCGTTTATTTAGGTTTAGATCCCTAATCAAGCAAATGAGTTAAACAAGTGATAATATAAACAAGAGATAGATCACTAATTAAACAAATGATTTGAAATGATAAATGACAAAGCCTATATGAAAAACAAACGAGTCAATATATACAAATATTACTTAGGATTTCCTATCCTTAACATTAAAATCAACAACTAATGCGTATATATATGGGTCTGTGTCCTGGATGTATCTGTACCAGTATCAGGACAGGTATGTATCTCGATCCGGGACTCGGATAGGTCTAATGATAGGTACGTTTCAGGTTTCTGTCTTGTACCCAGACAGATGAAATAATTAATATGAGGTAAATTATCACTTTATTCCCTCAAAATACTATTATCCTTTAGACCCAGTATACTAGCCACCGTATACTGTATTAAATCCTTTAAAATCCCGTACCTTGCAATTACGCTTTTGCCGACCGTCACTTGTGAGCTCCAACTGGCAACTGCCAGCTTTCAGCAGAACGCTCTTTTATATAGTCAGCATCACGCGGACTACCCTCGGCCGCTATCGTAGAGCATTACGATAAAGTCCGGGTGACGTAATTCAGCTAAGCATCCCGAGCCCGATCCGTCACATTACCCACGCCTCTATTACTCATGCGTCCTCGCATGACAAAAGAAAGTAATGAAATGATGATATATCATGATGATAAACGTTTTAATGAAGAAAACATGAGATATATACACAGAGTGAAAGTTATGATCATGATTATCTTGAAAGACTATCTGTCTTATAAACTTCGCAAGAAACAATCAAAAATTTACATATTATAAAATTCTTCTCTTTCTACAATTTTCTCCACACTTCTGCCATTGTCATGATACTTGGTGACTGTAACCTCTTTCACTCGCATTCTAAAACCTGCCGTCTGGGTCCCCTGATCCACTCTAATGTTTGCATGGGAATCGGTCTGCATCCCCCTATCCACAGTCTTCTCAACATTAGGTTCTGGATCAGGTTCAGATCTGCAGACTACTTTCCGTGTAGTGGGTACTGGGCTAGGTGCGGTCCGCTTTCTGAATATGCGTCCTGTCAGCAAACTAGTGGTTTTAGTTGGGGGTTCAGGATCCTTTTCTTTGGGAGGTTCCTCCAGCTGTACCCCTGGATCTTCATCCCAGTCACTCCCGCTGTCGCTGTTATTCGGTACTGGACTATTTGGACCTGCTTCATCATGCTCTGGCTCTTTAGACGCATGATCGCTTTCTGCATGTTTCAACTTCATGTGCTTCACCAAATATTCCTTCTTCTTAAAGGACACATGACATTTCTCGCACACCAACATGCTGCTAGCACACTTCAACACGTGAGCGGCCCAGGCATCTTTCCCGTCCAATTCAGTAAAACACACCGGACATATCTCTTTAGATTTTCTCGGCGTCACCTTTGTATTAACCATGATTTCACTACAAAGACACATGACAATACATCAGTGCAAATGGTATCAACATTTTTTCATAGCAAAAAGCAAAACAACTTAAATAATAGCAGGGTTATAAGTACTCTGTAAGCCAATTCACGCATAGTTTTGTAAGTTTAATTCAAGACTTAAAGGAAAACATATAGTCTTGTTCTAGTCCTGGACATAATCTTGAAGGTAAGTTGGGGCACGTCTTTCGCGTCTTGGTCTGCGATCACCAACTAATTCATCCGTGACTTCAATGTTGCTGTTAGATGACCCAAAGTCATCATCCTGATCCTCTTGATCTATCTGAACATTGGAACAATCACTTGTCCCTAGCTCTGAACTTTCGAGTCCTGGGTCTGGATCTTCGCCTCGAAGAACTTGATCTCTGCACCTTTTCATCCTGTCGCAATGAATTATCTGATCCTTTCCATTGCGTCCACAATTCACCTTATACAGGACCTCAGAGACTTTTGCCAGAACCTTAAAAGGTCCTCTCCAATATGAAGTGAGCTTAGGTGAGCACCCAGTTTTCCTTTGGGGAAAATAAACATAAACTTGGTCCCCAACTTTGAATTGTTCATAGGACATCTTCATGTCATGATAATGCTTCTGTCGAAGGATTGCTCCTTCTAACTGTTTCCTCACCAAATTGTGAGCCCTTTCCTTTCGATCAGTCAGAATCCACACCCATTCATGATTTGGTACTTGTTTCCAGGATGCGGGCATATCATATATGATGTCCAGAGGGGTAGCAGTTTCTCTACCAAGCATCAGCATGTTTGGCGTGTATCCGGTTGATTCATGCTGTGCCGCCCTGTATGCCATCATCACAAAAGGTATGCTCTCGTCCCAATCCCTATGATTCTTGCTGACATAACTACTCAGCATTGTGGCTAAGGTCTTATTGAACCGTTCCACCATACCATCAGACTGAGGATGGTATGGTGTGGTTCTTGTCTTCCGAATCTGTAAGTGCTTGCATACCTCGCTAAACAAAAGACTTTCATATTGACGCCCTTGGTCGGAGTGGATGGATACAGGAACTCCAAACCTACAAATAACCTCCTCTACGATCAGTTTCGCAACTGTCTGAGCCTCCATGTTGGGCATAGGAAAGGCCTCCGTCCATTTACTGAAATAATCAGAGACTACAAGTATGTAGCGATTCCCCCTTTCTGTGATTGGAAATTCCCCGAGGATATCTGTGGCTATCCTCTCCATTGGGTAACCTACTTGTAAAGGTTGCATAGGTCCTCTCTTTGTTTTAAGTGGAGCCTTCCTCCGGGCACATATGTCGCATCCAGCAACATAACCTCTTACATCGCTTTGCAGTCCCGGCCAGTAGTAACTTTGTCTGATTTTGTTCAGGGTTTTGGTCACCCCTAGATGACCAGATGTCTTGGAGTCATGCATCTGTTGTAAAATAAACCTTCTCTGTGAGAGTGGCATAACAATCTGATATGTCGTGTTATTGCTTTCCTCAAGCTCCCACATACGACATAGCAAGTTATCCTTCAATGTCAATCTACTCCACTGAGCCCACAACGATTTGACTATATAACTCTCAGCAGTAATTTCACTGTAGTCTGGACGCTTCCCCTCCTCCATCCAATCCTTAACAAGTCTAATATCCCGACTTCCATCCTGTATCTCTACTAGACTTTTTGATTCATCTGTCCCATTGTCTTTGATCTCATCCTGTAATACCCTTGCATGTGATTGTTCCCCATGCAAGTCTTCTTTCTCCCAATCATCAAAATATCCGCATTGGACGCATGGGAGTCTACTTAGCCCGTCTGCATTGCCATGCAGTCTACCAGCTCTATGCTCGATCTCTATATCATATGCCGATATCACCTCTAGCCATCGAGCTAACTGGCCTTCTGGATCCTTGAACCTTAGCAACCATCAAAGAGAACTGTGATCTGTTCTGACCACAAATTTACGTCCATACAAGAAATGTCTAAAGTGCTTTATAAAAGTCACTACTGCCAGGAGCTCCTTCCTGGTCACACAGTACCTTCTCTCTGATTTACTAAGAACTTTGCTGGCATAAGCGACTACCCTTTCCTGCCCATTCTGGATCTGAGACAGGGCTGCTCCGATCGCATTTTGACTTGCATCGGTATCCAAAATAAAGGGTAAACTGAAGTCTGGATGAGTAAGGATAGGTGCTGTGGTCAACTTGGTTTTTAGGACATCGAATGCTTTTTGACATTCCCCTGACCATTTGAAGACAACTGATGCCTCTGTCAGTTTATGAAGCGGTCGATCTATATCAGCAAAATTTGCAATGAATTTCCGATAATAGCTACAGAGGCCGAGGAAGGAACGAACTTGAGTCTTATTTACTGGCTCTGGCCATTGCCTCACAGATTCAACTTTCTCTGGATCTGTCTCGACCCCATTCTCCGAAATGACATGACCCAGGTATTTCACTTGTTTTGCAAACAAAGTACATTTTCTTGCCTTTAGCTTCAAACCAGCTGACTGTAACTTCTCAAAGACCTGTTCTAGATTATGTATCATTTCGTTAAATGTTTTCCCATATACAATGACATCATCCAAATAGATGAGGCATATCTGCCATTGTAGTCCCGACAAAACAGTCTCCATAAGGCGCTCAAACGTAGCCGGGGCATTACAGAGCCCGAACGGCATCACATTGAACTCATAAAACCCTTGCCGAGTTGCAAACGCCGTCTTATGCTTATCGCTTGGATCTAGCTCTACCTGCCAGTATCCAGCATTCAGGTCTAGAGTACTGAACCACTTTGCTCCCTTCAGCTGATTAAGCGACTCGTCGATCCGGGGAAGGGGATAGGCGTCTTTAATGGTGACACTGTTCAGGCGCCTATAATCCACACAGAACCTTTTGGATCCGTCTTTCTTCTTCACCAAGACTATCGCTGATGACCAGGCGCTCTGGGAAGGCTCAATAATACCTCTTTTAAGCATATCTGATACATGCTCTTGAACTTCTTCCTGCATATGGAAAGGTAGATGTCTTGGTGCCTGTTTGATAGCTGGATGAGAACCTGTATCTATCTTGTGCTTAACCATAGAGGTTCGACCAACATCTTCATAAGCAACAGAAAACAAATCTGAGTACCTGATAAGTAAACTTCTGGCCTTGTCTCTTTCATTACTCCCAAGATTCACAGTGCTTCTATCAAACAATTCCTTTAAATGTTTTGGCATTTCCTTGCTACTGCTCTTATCATGGCTGGAAGACGATAAGGATACAATCTCATTAACTGGAGACAATTTACCCACAAGAGTTCCTGGCTGTAGAGTCTTATCTGTGGATGACAGATTCATAATTCGTAGGGGCACTGCCTCCTGGCGTCTTACCAGGGTTCTGGCTATCATAGCGGAATCCGATTTTCGGAATTTTTCAGAAGGTTCCACAAGCCCTATATTCACAGGGTATCTTCCATCTGGCCCTGCACATATCTTGCCCTCAGTCATTACTTCAGATCTTGGAGGTACAACTATTCTATTGACCAAAGCAATCTTGTACTCTCGTTCTGTACCCTCCATCTGAATTGGATGTTCGATCCCTGAGATCTCAACCTTGTGTGTGCGCATATTTATGATAGCTTCATACTTGACAAGAAAATCTAAGCCAAGGATTCCATCTACAGATAGATCCGCCACTATCATCTCATGCTTCAGAGTTGTTCCATTTAGCACAAGGTCTATAGAGGTTTTACCATATATCTCTACACAAGATCCATTAGCTGACAGGACGTCCCTGTCTACTTTCTTTAAAGAATGGTTGTCTCCTTGTATGTTTTCATAGCAAACTTTCGATAGTAAGGAAACAGTGGCACCTGTATCAATGAGTAGAAAAGTATCCATCCCACCTACTTTGGCAGTTACATAAGCCCCTGATTCCTTGAAAGAATGAACAATTCTAGAGTGTTCATCAGTCTGTTGCGTTCTGGATTGGGTCCGGTCATCTGACTTATGCTCAGTCATGCCTCTCATCTTCTGTTTAGGTTCTGGGGGAGAGGTTGTATCTTTAAGCACGGGACAATCTCTTTTTAGGTGTTTATCAGATCCGCATTTATAGCATCTTCGAGTACTAATACCATTTCCTGTTGTTTTCTTAATTTCCTCTCTCGTCTGCCTTGTATCGCGTCCATTTCTTTGCATTTGAAACTTCCATTGTTTCATATCTTTTATCTCCCTTTGAAGATATTGCATATTTTTCTCCATGGTCTCTATGAATTTATCTATCTTTGATCCCTGACTGGATCCATGCTTGTCGTGATCCATGCTCATGACATTCTAGGTGCGACGACTCTCTGCTTTATAAAATGCTTCCAGCTCAACAGCTCTCTGTATAGCATCATTAAAACTGCTAGGTCTGGACTGTTTGATCTTAAGACGCATTTCCGCATTATGCAGTCCATCTAAAACTGTTCTGTGGCAAGAATCTCACGTACGTCATCCGGTGCTGTGGGATAGGCTAGGTTCACTAGCCTCCGTATATCTTGGCCCATCTCTGGTAAACTCTCTGATGGTTTTTGTCTCCTTTCCCTCAGCTGAGTCCGATACAGCTCTGTTTGGTTCAGTGGGGCAAACCGATCCTGTAAGCATTTGACTAATTTTCCATAGATCTGTCTCTCATCCCTGGGCTGATTACCCAGCACACCTTGTGCTAGCCCTCTAAGAGACGCAGCTAAATATAACCCCTTTTCCGTCTCAGTCCATTCATTTAAGAGACTAACAGACTCAAAATGAGACAAATAGTCATTCCACATACTGGAACCATCATAAGTCGCAGGTTTAATAAAATTCCTTGGCCTTGATCTATTCCGATTTGTATCTGTCGCCGGATGAGTATTTGTGCCATGTGCTGAATGCTGTCCTCGGTCTCCAGACCTATCATCAGTCTCATCACATGTGCATACATCCTCAGTACTTGCATTTTCAAGCAACCTATCTGTCCGTCTTGTAAACGGAGTACTCGTCCTTGTTTG